AAAACAATTACATTGCCCTCTGAGTTTACTAATTACATTGTGACATGTAATACAAAAATACGAGACTCAATATAAAAGTAGAAAATGAGGTTTACCGTTACATTACAATTTCAAGTTCACAAAAGTTTAAATTTTGAAAAGAGACGGTCTTTTTCCTTTGTCTTCATTGACGATTATGGGGCTCTTCATCTCCTAAAATGTTAGTAAATAGGAATGAGCAATTGCCCAGTAGAGAATAACTTTGACTAAGTATATAAACATTTGTTTTAATTATGCATGACCTTAATAATGCCCATGGATTTTCATTGGTTTAGAAGTTATTACACAACACACAATTCTGCATCCAATCTCCTCATTTTTTTATCCTCACATGGATGGCCAGTGGACACTTCAAACCTTTCACTTTTGTCGTCCTCACACGAACAGCTAATGGACACCTCACAACATCCCCACATTCGTCGACCTCACGCAAACCGGGCAAGTGGGCACCTCAAACACATTCCCACATTCGTCGTCCTCACACGAACCGAGCAAGTGGGCACCTCAAACACATTCCAAAACATTAACATTTTAAGCACAACACAAATAATCACAAGGACTCCCCAATTTACTTAGCAATTATCCATTAAGTCAAAATCAAGAACAACCCTTGGGGCCATATATGAAAATTTGAGACTTTTCCTTTTAAATATTTACTTTCCGTGATTTAAGTATATCTACTCACTATTTCATAGTTGATTCCACAATCCACCATCAATTTCACACAATTGCCTCATCAACACAAAGCCCATAAATATATATATATATATATATATACCACATCCATCTCAATAGTTGCACACACCTTAAGATTCACACATATCTAAGTCAAAATATAGATATATAAGAGTAAAGGTATTCCTACCTCAAGGTTGCAAGAGGAGAGATGAAGGTCCACGCGATAAGCTTCTGGAATACCACGATCTAATCGGTTCAAAACGTAGCTTTTGACGAGAATAACAACTTTAATGAAGGCCCAAAGATCGATTCTCATGCTTACTAGAACAAATCCAAGATTTTCTAGCTATGGTTATGGAAACGGAGCTGTTAGAGAGAGGAGTGCGAGAGAAATGAGTTAGAAAAATGTTTAGATCGCAATATAACTCTGCTATCTCGACTAGACCGCTCGAGCAAACTTTCCATTGCTCGAGCAAAGTGCCAAAATACAAAGGAGTCGCTCAAGCATTAAACGCAAGGTCTCAGAAGTTTTGCAGAGTTACAGTGAAAATATTGGGAGCTTGCATTTTATGCTCAAGCGACCATTCCTTCACTCGAGCTCTCTCGCCTGCAAACTTGCAAAATACTAGAAGCTGCAAATATCCACTCAAGTTACCAATTGACAGCTTGAGCGGTCACCCAAACACAACTGTTACAGCCTATCCCCTTAAGGAATATCATCTCTGAAATTTCATAGTTCGTGCCAAAACAACTCCAATAATTCCCAAGAAAGATGAATATTCACTATAACAATAGTCTCAATCATCACGACTTCTCAAACCAAAACAAAATCAAAGTTAACTTCTAACAATAGCATAGAAATTTAGATTTGTTTCATTTACTTCCTTCTACAATCTCCCATACAATAATTTAAGATAACAAAAAAGCAAGTTTTGGGGGGTATTTCTCACGAACTTCAGCTTCTCGTTCTCAAGTGGCCTCTTCAACCCCATGGTGATGCCATAACACTTTAACTAAAGGAATGACTTTGCCTCTCAAAACTTGTTCCTGAATGTCCAATATTTTTGTCAGCCTCTCCTCATATGAAGTATTCTCAGCCACCTCTAAATTTGTCCAATCCAAGACATGGGAAGGATTGGGTTCATACTTACGAAGCATGGAGACATAGAACACATCGCGCACTCTGGATAATTACGGTGGCAATGCAAGGCGATAAGCTACCTCTTCTACCCGTTCTATAATATCATACGGGTCAATGAATCTAGGTGACAATTTTTCGCTTTGCCCAAATCTCGTTAACCCTTTTCTGGGCGATATCTTCAAAAATACATGTTCATCCACATCAAAAGATAGGGGTCTTCTCCTCCGGTCTGCATAGCTCTTTTATCGACTTTGAGCCGTAATTAACCGTTTCCGAATGAGAACTATTTTCTCAGTGGTTTCTCGAACCAATTCCGGTCCAAGCATAGGTGAATCTCCCACCTCAGTCCAACACACCGATGACCTACACAGTTTCCCATACAAAGCTTCAAAAGGATCCATCTCGATGATAGCTTGATAACTATTATTGTAGGCGAATTCCGCTAAAGGTGGGTGTCTCTCTCGAGAACCTTTAAAATTTAGCACACAAACTCTCAACATGTCTTCCAAGATTTGGATAGTGCGTTCGGACTGTCCATCGGTTTGTGAGTGGTAAGCGGTGCTAAAAGTTAACTGAATGCCCATAACAGTTTATAGGTTTTACCACAACTGTGCGGTAAAACGAGGGTCTCAATTCAAGACAATACTTACCGGAACCTCGTGAAGCCGAACAATCTCTTTGACATAAAGTTCTGCCAAGAAATTAACTAAATCTCACATACACATAGCAAGAAAATGAGCCGACTTAGTTAGTCAATCCACCACTACCCAAACTGCGTCATTATCCCTTTGTGTTCTAGGGAGACCTGAAACAAAATCTATAGTAATATGTTCCCACTTCCATTCAGTAATAGGCAAGAGTTGTAATATCTCGGTTGGTCGTTGATGTTTTACCTTTGACTTGTTGACAAAGTAAACACCTGGACGCAAATGAAGCCACATCTCGCTTCATGCCCCTCCACCAAAATTCTCGGCTAAGGTCATGGTATATTTTTGTGTCCCCCGGATGTACTGTAAGATGGAAGTGGTGAAATTCTCGAAGTACATCGTCTCTACACAACTCAGGTACAAAAAGGCAATCTAGATATCGGATATTAGGATCAGAATCCATCCTCAAACCCTTTTCTTCCTTCCCCTATACAATTTTCTCCTTGATTGCTTCAACTTCCAAGTTACCTCATCGTGCCTCTATAACCCGAGTAAAAAGTCTTGGTTGTGCAAGGACGGAACACAAAGTGGCATACTTAGAAGAGTCACAAGATGCTAATTGAATTCACCCAAATCACCCAACATTTCCCATTCCTTAATTGCAGGATTGGCAATGGTATTTTCTACTCAAAGCATCGGCCACCACATTGGCTTTTTCGGGATGACAGTGTAATTCAAAATAATTCAAAATCGTAATCCTCTAAAAATTCCATCCATACTCTTTGACATAAATTCAAATCCTTTTGAGAAAATAGATATTTAAGACTTTTACACTACAAAAATTTCGATTTTTTGCAACGGCAAACTGCCGTCGCAAATACTCAAAATGTCGTCTCAAAAACTTTTTTGTGACAGCAATTGACTTTTACTGACGGCAAATGGGGGGTCACAACAAAAGGCGTTGCTAAAAGGTTTTAGCGACGGCACCATGCCGTCGCCTTTTTTTTTTTTGAGACGACAAAGTTGCCTTTTTGCGACGGAGTTATGTTGTTGACATTAATATGTAAAAAATTTGAATTTTTTGCGGCAGCACTGTTTGTTGTCACTAAAAAGTGTTATTTGCGACGGCAAAATGTCATCGCGAAAGTGTTTTTTATTGCAATGGAATACCTGCCGTCTCTAAAAAACTATTTGCGACGGCAAAGAATACTGTCGTGAAAGGTTTTTTGTTTCAACTTTTGCCAATATCTTTTGCGACTGCAAAGTTTTTGAGACGGTGTGGTGCCATCGCCCAAAAAAAAAAAAAAAAAAACTATAATAAAATTATTAAAAATATAAAAATTACCTTCATTAAATAAAAAATAACTTGAAAAAAAACCAATAATTTACATAAAAACCAATAATTCCAGTATAAAAATAACAATTCATCCATAATAAAAATATTATTTCATTCATAACAGTACATTAGCAAAATTATCCCACTACATAATGTTGCATAATACATATATAATGTTTAAATACATAATGTTATTCACAATTCAAAATAACGTAAATCAAAAACAAAAGTTTTCCTCATGATTTTTCTGTAGGTAACAAAAATAAAAGTTAGTCGCAATCTTCACACGCTTGCATTCCACAAGAAGCAAACTCCTACTCGGGAAATATCTGAAAATAAAAAATAAAAATAATTAATGACAATATAATTATGTATTAATATTTTAATTACAAAAAAACATAAAAAATTAACTACTACATAATTAATAAGAAAATTAAGTAAACAATTTTAGCTAGACAGAAATCCGGCTCTAACTCCCAAATCGGAAACCCGATTGGAATCCCGTCTTCTCCCACAAGTCTCTCGTGCTTAGATGGTCATGTGTGCCAAGTTTCGTACTAAACCGACGCTGTTTGGTGATTTTGGGACGTCAACACCTCGAATTCAAATTTATTTAAAAGATTTTTCAAAGGTCATACTATAAAGCATCGGCGCCTCTAAAGATGAGAGACACCGCGAAGGTACTTGGTAATAGAGTAGAAAATATGAAACAACATAAACAACATGAGTAAAGCTTTATAGTCTCCACATGTATACACATACATCATTTTGAAAACCACAAAAAAAAAAAAAAAAAAAAACTGCAATAAAATTATTAAAAATATAAAAATTACCTTCATTAAATAAAAAATAACTGGAAAAAAAAACCAATAATTACATAAAAACCAATAATTCCAGTATAAAAATAACAATTCATCCATAATAAAAATATTATTTCATTCATAACAGTACATTAGCAAAATTATCCCACTACATAATGTTGCATAATACATATATAATGTTTAAATACATAATGTTATTCACAATTCAAAATAACGTAAATCAAAAACAAAAGTTTTCCTCATGATTTTTCTGTAGGTAACAAAAATAAAAGTTAGTCGCAATCTTCACACGCTTGCATTCCACAAGAAGCAAACTCCTACTCGGGAAATATCTGAAAATAAAAAATAAAAATAATTAATGACAATATAATTATGTATTAATATTTTAATTACAAAAAAACATAAAAAATTAACTACTACATAATTAATAAGAAAATTAAGTAAACAATTTTAGCTAGACAGAAATCCGGCTCTAACTCCCAAATCGGAAACCCGATTGGAATCCCGTCTTCTTCCACAAGTCTCTCGTGCTTAGATGGTCATGTGTGCCAAGTTTCGTGCTAAACCGACACTGTTTGGTGATTTTGGGACGTCAACACCTCGAATTCAAATTTATTTAAAAGATTTTTCAAAGGTCATACTATAAAGCATCGGCGCCTCTAAAGATGAGAGACACCGCGAAGGTACTTGGTAATAGAGTAGAAAATATGAAACAACATAAACAACATGAGTAAAGCTTTATAGTCTCCACATGTATACACATACATCATTTTGAAAACCACAACCAGACTTGGAAATACTTTATAGTTCTATTGATTTGGAGACATATATGCACTATGGAACCAAGTGACGAAAGTATACACTATACATTCTAACAGCATGAGTAAAGCTTTCTTTTACGTTCAAGAAATGTAGAATATCATGCCAAAGAAATAGTACTCAACCCTCTACCTCTCACAAATTTTTTTTGATGTTTTTCTGTTACTACTCCATTTGCATGATAACAGTTCAAAAATGTATGAAATGAACCAAGACAGAATCCATGGATTTTAATGAAGAAAAATTCTTCTAGAAAATAGTTCAAACTCAAGCTTCTCCAAAAAGTTATGGTTAACGCAATCAAAGAAAAAAAAATTAAAAAGCAAAGCATGTGCAATCAAGCCCCACCAAGTAAAAAGAAAAGAAAATTCATACCTGAAAATATATCTTGAGTTCAAATGATGGACCGGTAAATGGAAAATAAGTGTCAATCTAGTGCATTTCCACAGAACCTAAAATTCTCAAAAGGTGTTAGGCTGAAAAAGAAAAGTAAAGTATATCTCCTACAGAAACCAACATATAAGGTCAGATATGTTTGTTCCTTAAAAAAAATTTCCTTGACTTACCACACTATTATATGTTATAGATATTGTAAATCATTCCATCTAGTGAATCATCCTGGTTTCACCCAGAATGAGTGACATCATATGATCTTCATTTGTAACCTGATTTGCTTTTTCCCCACAATTTTTTTTTTTTATCCTTTCACCATCCCCAACATATTTAGAATATTTATAAACTCTCAATCACTGCACATAATGAATAATTATTATATCTTCTATTGTCACAGCTCAAATTTTCATGTCATGTTTCAATTTAAACTGTACCAAATAAGTGGCGTGCCAAACCCTCAAGGCATTTCTTTAAATCCTCAGCTACATAAGATGTTCCATCCATGCCTGATGGCTCCCAATCATCTGGAGTAAAAACCCGAAACCCTTCCATCTGGAGAGTCAAGACACCAAATTATTTGACAAAAAAAAAAAAGAAAGAAAGAAAAAAGAGTCAGCTGCGAAACCATGGTTGCCATGATGAAAGATTAGAAACCTGATGGAATACGGGGCGATGAGTTGAATCAATAGAATCTCTACGATAAACATCTCCAGTGACAAGGAAATGGGTGTGTCCCTTCCTCAAAAGCTCAGCTTGATGTGCACAAATGTGGCACCTTAAGACAGTTTGAGAGTCCACATAATATGTATCATTGTAACTCCTACTCACATGATCTTCAGGCACCAAGACATCATCAAAGTTCTGCAACAAGGATAGCCATTGTCACAAGAATGCACAAACACTAAACAAGATTATCCTTTATGGTTCTTGACCATGGAAACTAGGTCAATGCAAAATCTGCACAAAATTCACCTCTATTAGTAACTCGATATAATTCCTATCTTCATGCTTCCAAAATAATTACTAGAAAAATAAGAACAATAAGAACTGGAAAATAACATTAAATTGCATATTGTAGGCTTTATTTACCACGAGAGGTTAAATGACCAAGTCCTTACTTAGTTTATGACTCAGATATCAGCTACAAAACTAATTACACCCTCTTCAATGAAAGACGCTCAACAGGAAATAAACTTTGATAGCTGCATTTAAAATAAAATAAAAAAATCAAATATGACCTTCGCATATTCAAGACTAAGGCCTCGTTTAGGAACAGGCTAATTTAGTAACTTTTTGACTATTTGGCTAAAATATGAGCTAAAAAAAACTAGTATGTTTGGGAAGACTTTTTGGCTTTTTACGAAAAGATGTGCAAAAAGTATAGAGAAAAGAGAATCTTTGACTTTTTGGTATGGGTTGTTGGCTTTTTGGCTAATTTAGTAACTTTTTGACTTTTTGGCTAAAAAAGATGATTCCCAAACGAGGCCTAAAGAGCAATACTTGATCTCTGAAGAACAGCTTTATGAGGGATAGATAAGAAACAAATGTTTTGTAGAAGTTGCTTAATAAATCCAATGTTGTACCATTTTAACAGAAACAAATGGGAAGAGATTATCAAACTTGTCAAACTTTCCCGAGTAAGTGATGTCAAAGTAGTTGTATATTGCATTCTTCAAAATCCCAATTGGATGATGATCCCTCCTATGAAGCTGCATTCCAAGTTTGGAAAATATCGAATCAAGAACATTGTTTGTTGGGTCATCCCTCACCACATCTACAAATTCAATTTATCAAAATAAATCACGAAAATCCAAACAACAAACCTTTTACCACAATAGAATTTATCCAAATATAAAAATTTACATTCCAAGTTGAAAAAATCACATCAGGAAACATTATTTGTCTGCCCATCCCTTAAAAACCATTTTTTTGGGGGGCAAGTATCCCTTAAAACCACACTAACCTTACATATCAATTCAATTGATGAAACTTTTAGAACTAAAGGAAAAGGCAGTGTCTGATCCAGTTGTGTCAGTAGTGAGAACAAAATACAAAAACAGAACACCAAAATTCTCTGAATTAAGATCCAAACTGCAAAACCAATATTCTAAAAACCTTGCCCAAATAGGAAGAACACTATGTCAACTGTAATGCATAATTTTGTCCAACCCAAAATGCAAAACTAGTGAAGAAATCAAATTTCAACAAAAACCCAGAACAATAATAACCAAAAAACTACCAAAATTAGACCAACCAAGAGAGAAAACTTCAAACCCAGCACAAGAATTAAGGAAAATCCCAAAAAAAAAAAAAACCCCCATCACAACCCAATATTCCCTAAAAAGCTTGGGCCAAATAGGAAGAACACTATGTCAACTATCACCTGGTTCAAAACATACAGAAGGCACCAAAATCACTTGGTTCACAATCCACACGCAGAAGGCACCACATTTTCACTGATTAAGCAGTAGACAACTACATATATTCTAATTTTCAAATGCCCTCTGTCTATTTCACCTAAAAACCCAAAAATGAATATTTTCCAGTAGTGCTTAGAAACTGAGACAATCAATCATCAATCAACAAAACAAAATCAAATAACACAAGCATCAACAAATCAATACCCAACTGCTTACAGACCACCACTACAACAATCCATCAAAAACAAACACAAACCCAACATCAATTGAGATGAAAGAAACACGAGATCTGAGAAGAAGAAGAAGAAAAGACAAAAAAAAACCACGAATCGAAACCCTAATCTGGAAAAGTACTGAAGCTACGGAGAATCAGAGTGAATATGGAGCTGAATTTACCTTATCTGAAGATTGACGAACGCAAAGACGATGAGAGTTTGTTTTCGCCTTTTGTTTTGTGAATCTGTGTGCGTGAGGTCTTAGAAGATTGAGAAGATGAGAGAGTTGAAGAGAGACATGCCTTGCCGCCGTCGCTCGCTTTCCGCCGTCGCATGCTGCTCGATGTCGTCTCACGCTGCTCGCTGCCATCGCTCAACGCCGTTGATTCGATGCTCATCGTCGTCCGCCGTTGCTCACAGTCGAGAGAGAGAGAGAGAGAGAGACGTAAGAAGAGATGGGGACTTTTGATAGGCTTTTGGTTAACACTATGTTTTTTGGAACGGAAAGAAAAGAGATGATTACTTAAGTTATAACAGAAAAAAAAAGAAAAGAAAATATCGTAATTTTTCTTCTTTTTATTTAGATAAGAAATAAATAAAATAAAATAAATGATTGTGATTTTTTTTATTTTTATTTGGTTAGATTTTATTAAGAGAAAAAAAAGAAATTATTTTTTGCAACGGTAAATAGTGTCATACATCTTCAAAACACAATTCAAAACTCTATTTAAAAATCATAACCAAACAAATTTTCTACACTCAAATCATAATTCTACAACCCATAAACTCAAAATACAATTCATACTCTCAAATCACATTTACAAAACACAACCAAACGCAGGCGTAATTTTTCTCTTTTTATTTAGATAAGAAATAAATAAAATAAAATAAATGATTGCGATTTTTCTTATTTTTATTTGGTTAGATTTTATTAAGAGAAAAGAAAAGAAATTACTTTTTGCAACGGTAAATAGTGTCATCGCAAATACTTTCGTGTTATATGCCCCCTTTCTTTTTTGCAACGGTAAATAGTGTCATCGCAAATACTTTCGTGTTATATGCCCCCTTTCTTGTAGTGTTATGATCTGAAAACACCTCAAACTTCTTCTCATACAAGTAATGTCTCCACAATTTTAGAGAAAAATTAACTGCAACTAACTTTAAATCATGAGTCGGGTAATTTCTTTCGTGGGTTTTCAATTGGCGTGAACCATACGCCACTACCTTACCTTATTGCATCAAAACACATCCCAAACCTCCTCTAGAGGCATCACAGTATACAATGTAACCCAAACCTCTTTCTGGAATGACTAAAACTAGTGTGGTGGTTAATCTAGCCTTTAGCTCTTAGAAGGATTTCTCACATGGTTCATTCCAAACAAACTTCACTCCATTCCTCGTTAGTCTAGTCAACGAAGAAGCTAACGTGGAGAAGTCTTTCACAAACCATCTATAATAACTAGCAAGACCTAAGAAACTGCGGATCTCAAATGTGTTCTTAGGTCACTCCCAATTCCGTACCACCTCGATCTTCGAATAATCTACGGCAACCCCATCCTTAGAAATAGCATGACCCAAGAATTTCACCTTGGAGAGCTAGAACTCACATTTCTCATACTTAGCGTATAATCTGTGCTTCTTAAGTAATTGCAACATAATGTGAAGGTGCATCTCATGTTCTTCCTCAGATGGTGAATATATAAGAATATCATCTACAAAGACTACCACAAATTTGTCAAGATATTCTCCAAAAACATGATTCATCAAGTTCATAAAGGTGGCAGGAGCATTAGTTAAACCAAATGGCATCACAAGGAATTCATAATGGCTATATCCAGTACAAAAGGCCGTCTTCAGGATATCTTCTTCTTTCATACGTAACTGATGACAAACCGATCTCAAATCTATTTTTGAGAAACACTGAGAATCCTTAAGTTGGTCAAAAAGATCATTTATTCTAGGCAACGAGTACTTATTTTTAATTGTGACCCTAGTCAGTTTATGGTAATCAATGCATAGCCTTAATGAACCATCCTTCTTCTTGGCAAAGAGAGCCGGTGCTCCTCAGGGCGAAGTTCTAGGGCATATAAAACCCTTGTCTATTAACTCTTGCAATTGCTCCTTCAAAACAAGCTACTTTGTCGAAGTGAATCTATAGGGTGGCATAGAAATGGGTGTCGTACCCGTCACTAGGTCTATAGAAAACTCGACCTCACAATAAGGCGGTAATTCGGTGAGGTGCTCTAGAAAAACATCTAAATACTCACAAACCACCCTAGGGAATACACCCCTCACGCATCACTATTCCCATCATTCATCAAGGTTGAGAGAAGAGAAGTGAATATGCCTCGACTACGAGAGTCATATGAAGGCGTTAAAAGTCTATCAGTTCTATCCCCCATAAAATAAAAACAGTCACCCCCAGCTAAACACACTGTAACTCTCCCACAGTAATAATCTATTACAGCACAATAAGAGAACAACTAGTCCATACCGTGGATGACATCAAAACCCGTCATATCTAACAATAGCAAACTAAAAAGAAGTCGGTGGTCTGCAACTTTAATCACACACCCGCGGCACCCATGGTTTAATACCATCTTACCCTTAACTGGTGATTCTATAACAAGAGAAGATTCTAATGGTTCAACCCAACATAGATACAAAAGTAGATGCTATAAATGAATGGGATGGCCCCGTGTCTATCAACACATTGACCCAAGTATTATATATAAGATATGTACCTCACATCACCATTGGCCCAGTTGACTGTTTGGATGCAGTGACAGCATAGACTCTCCCTTGGTGTCTCTATTCACTCTACTCACCCCTCTAATGATAGGCATGTTGCATGGACTGTGCGGAGGTAGCCTCATGTATAGCTCTAGACGTCTGTCCTGACTAAACTGGCTGATGAGTCTGTCTTTGGCTCTATCTTGCCTGAAACCCTGAAGCATTAGCTGTTCCAGGAATTTAGGGACAAAACTTCTTCATATGACCCGACTGGCAGCATTGATAACAAACGGGGCGATTGACCTCCACCGAAGGTCTGATTCTTAAGATGAATAGAAGGATGAGGTTGTTGGTTACCCCTCCGTGGACATGTATTGGACTTGTGACCTTGCTTACTACATCGATAACAAGTGATCCCACTTTGTCCCGTACTATCCATACTCTTTTCTGATAGAGAATTTGCTGACACATCCGATAACGACGGTAGATGAGAGGACGTAGAACTCTTTGACTTTTTGGATACCATAGAACCCCCTCGAGATTTAGTAAACCCTTGTCTCTTAAGCTGTCGCCTCTTCTCCTCACCTTCAAGCATGATCTTAATATGTGCCACGAACTCCACCAACCTTTCATAATCCCAATTCATGTTGCCCATCACACTCATCAAGATTTTTGGCCTCAGTCTCTTCTCAAACTCTAGACACCTACGCACTTTCATAGCTACCAAGTCGGGTGCAAAATGAGATAGGCTCTTAAAAGTAGCCTCAAACTCCGCCACTGTGGAATCAAATTGTTCAAGCTCCTCAAACTCTCTCCACAAACGTTCCCTCGTAGTGGGAGAAAGGTATTTTTCCTGAAAAGCATGAGAAAACTCTTCCCAAGTATGTTCAATTTGACCCTTGGCATATTTCCACCATTGGTCGGCATCTCCCTTTAATTGATAACTAGCAAGCACCACCCAGAGTTCACCGACCCAAATATCTAAAATCTCGAAAGATTTAGTGATTTGCTCAAGCCATTCATCCGCCTTTAATGGTTCAGGACCCCCAAGAAATTCAGCAGTAATTTAGCAAAAAAATTCAATTTTCAGGAATGAAACTCCAGTCTCCCCTTTAATAGTTCTAGCAGCTTGCTCAGCTCTAAGAATGTCCATTGACTCCCTAAGAGCCTCAACCATCTCTCGAGCCAACACTCATATAGCGTCTTTGGCCAGTGAAGCAGCCACAATGTTTTGACCCACTCCTTCTTCTTGAGGAAAGATCTTTGGTTGAGTCGGGATATCTCGACCACCTCGACGAGGTTTGCCACGACCCCTACTACGTCCAGACATCCTATATAAGAGTAGATGTGGACAAGATTAACTCAAAATTCATATACTAGTTCATCACTTCTCCTCAAGTCTTTATCTCATTCTCAACACATAAGCACATAGACAAACAGAACACATATGAATCCCTCTTCCAAGATATCAACTCATTCCATGACATTCAAGGATTTCTTAGTGGAAAAACCATTGATCAGATGCCTTTTCAAAGGGACTTCGTTGAATGTAGTGGACACAAGTCATATCCTAGAGAATTGACCCCATACACACCTAATCACATAAACACATAATCAAATAAGACTACCAAACCCTTATTTTTACTTGACAACCCAAATGTGACACGATCACTTCCTAAGAGTATTCAACCTGGTTAGCTCTGATACCAAATTTGTAGTACCCCATACATATAATTTCCCATCGAACAATTAAAAGAACATTCTCCACATAAACACAATTTTATTCAAATATTTCTCTTTCTTACTGAACTGTAGATTTTGTTTACAAAATTACAAAATATGGATCTTAGTTCAGTGAGCTAGAGAAGAATACAAAACAATTACATTGCCCTTTGAGTTTACTAATTACATTGTGACATGTAGTACAAATATACGAAACTCAATATAAAAGTAGAAAAGGAGGTCCACCATTGCATTACAATTTCAAGTTCACAAAAGTTTAAATTTTGAAAAGAGCCAGTCTTTTTCCTTTGTCTTCATTGATGGTCATGGGGCTCTTCATTTCCTGAAATGTTAGCAAATAGGAATGAGCAATTGCCCAGTAGAGAATAACTTTGACCAAGTATATAAACATTTGTTTTAAATATGCATGACCTTAATAATGCCCATGGATTTTCATTGGTTTAGAAGTTATTACACAACACACAATTCAACACAGATGGCCAATGGACACCTCAAGCCTTCCACTTTCGTCGTCCTCACACGAACTAGCTAGTGGACACCTCACAGCATCCCCACATTCATCGCACTCATGTGAACCGGGCAAGTGGGCACCTCAAACACATTCCCACATTCATCATCCTCACACGAACCAAGCAAATGGGCGCCTCAAACACATTCTAAAACATTAACATTTTAAGTACAACACAAATAATCACAATGACTCCCCAATTTTGTTTAACAATTATCCATTGAGTCAAAATCAAGAATAACCCTTAGGGTTACATATGAAAATTTGCGGCTTTTCCTTTTAAATATTTACTTTTCATGATTTAAGTATATCTACTCACTATTTCATAGTTGATTACACAATCAACCATCAATTTCACACAATCACTTCATCAACACAAAGCCCATATATATATATATATATACCATATTCATCTCAATAGCGTCACACACCTTAAGATTCACACACATGTAAACCAAAATATAGATATACAGGGGTAAAGGTATTCCTACCTCAAGGTTGCAAGAGGAGGAATGAAGGTCTGCACGATGAACTTTTGGAATATCACGATCTAATCGGTTCAAAAAGTAACTCTTGACAAGGATAACAACTTTAATGAAGGCCCAAAGATCAATTCTCGCACTTACTATATGAGAACCAAGGTTTTCTAGCTAGGGTTATAAAAAGAGAGTTGTTATAGAAAGGAGTGTGAGAGAAATGGGTTAGAAAAATGTTTGGATCGCAATATAACTCTGTTGTCCTGACCAGACCGCTCGAGCGAACTTCCATCGCTCAAGCGAAGTGCCAAAATACAAAGGGACCGCTCGAACAAACTTTTCACCGCTCGAGCGGTAAATGCAAGGTCTCAGAAGTTTTGCAAAGCTAGAGTAAAAATACTAGGAACTCGCATTTTACGCTCGAGCAACCATTCTTTCGCTTGAGTAGTCTCGCTTGCAAACTTGCAAGATACTGGGAGCTACAAATCTCAGCTCGAGCAACTAAATGACCACTCGAGCGGTCACCCAAAAGCAGCTGTTACACTCAGTACCACCAACAAAAAATGATTAAATTGTCAAGATTATCCTTATTCCATTAAAGATTGTTCAAATTGATATCATTTTAAAAGTTGAGAGTCTAAATTGAATCAAATAAAAAGTTAAAATTTAATTTATTATCAAAGTCAAAACTCTAGATTTTTTTTATTTAAATCTTCTATTAAATTAATATGTGGTCCAAATTTTATTATGAGTACGATGACAATCACTTAAAATAAATTTAGACCACAATGCTATATGTACAAGCAAACTTTTCTATCTTTACACGATCAAACAAATTTAAAAATAATTAAAATAAAATATGTTTTTACATATACAATCGTATGTACATTCAACAAGCTTTCTTTTAAACTAGTTTCACATTTCTTTCAAGTATCAATACCGACATAACATAAAATATATCAAATTTCTTTTATTGAAAAAGAACAAACAAAGAAAAAAGAAGAAGCTACAGGGCAATAACTCAAACTTAACATCATACCTAATAATAAATAAATAAATGGTTGAGTTTCTCTCATATTGAGATCTCAATATGAAAGAAGTTAAGGGATCTATAGAGTCCACCATGGGTCCCGTTTCGATAATTCGAACCGTTCATTTTGTGAAACCCTCAATGTATATTATCCATGAAAAAAATTAGTTTGATCCAATAATCATAACTTTTTTATTTTATTACATTTATCTCCAAAAAAATGGACAACATATATATTTTTGAAATAGGCCATCCATTTTTTTACAGACAAATATGATAAATTGAAAAGGTTACAATTGTCAAATTTACCTAAATTTTTCCATGGATGATAACATTAAGGGCTCTACAAAATGAATTGTTTAGATCATCAAAATGAGACCCGTAGAAGGCCCTCTAGGCCCCTCAACATAAGAGAAGCCCAACCCATAAATAAAAACGCATTATCTACCGTGACCAGAGCTGGTTTCCTTGTTTGGGGCATTGTAATGCCTCAACTTTTGTTACTCGGATGACATTATCAATTTCCATATTAAGATCCATTTATAAAATAATAAAATGTAGAAACAGAACAAAACAAATAGAATATTCAAGGTTTCCTCTCACACAAATACAATGGTACAAGTTCAGTATGGATCATTACAAAATAGTCGTTAGGCTTACATTGAGAGTTTTAAAAATGAAATAATTACAATGAAGAGAGTAATAACATATTGGCATTTCACCAGTGAGTAACAAATCTCAAATCATCAATAACTTAAGTCCTTGAATTCTCAAACGAGACAACAAATTTCACAGCTGAAAAATGGTTTAACAATTGGGATGAACAAAAGGTCTAGTAGGGATTTATAATGATTCAAAACAATAAGATCTATACATATATATAATCACGAATGCTATCAGGTGATCTTTTAGATAAGTAACGTACTCTTTTATACCCAAAGTAAAACATACATAAATATATACTTTCATTTTAAATATATATATATATATATATTCCACTTGAGATTTCAAGAAAAAAACTCATTTATTTTTCTTTTCACCTTATCATTAGCGATTCAAAGAAATGCTTCAAACCAATCAATCACACACTCATTCTAACATTCAACCCAAAAATGATAATTTCACAATCACCTGTCAGCTTATTATAATCTATAAAACACATTGTACATACCAATATCTAACATATAGGCAAGTGATAGCATTCAATTCATTATAAAATTATCCTAATTACACACTTTAAATCTCTAACACAATTCTGCTAGGTCACACATATCTACACAATCATGCAACTAAGTGACGAACACATCACAATTAACAACTGGCTTCGTCAAGCCATTCCAAAACAGTTTATCGGGCACTAATCTGGAAGGAAATCTGGAACCTATCTCAAAGCATCACGCTTTACTAGTGGCTAGCCAAAAGGAAAGCAGAGCTTCAATATAGCCCAACAGTCTACACGCTTTACTTGGAGCAAACCGAAAGGAAAGCAGAACCTCTATCAATGCGCCACACTTTACCGATCACAAGCCAAAAGGAAACATACCCTCTTTTTGGAACTTTAATCCATCTACTCATCATACACATCATCATTTTGATTCATAAAATTAAATCAACAACACGTCACACGCATAACCCATTCTACAACAATCAACATTTCCTAGAATTAGACCAACAATCTTATTATCTCATGCATCTCATAATTCTCATTACCAATTCCACTAACCAACTTTCATAACATGAGCCACTTCCACAACAAACATTTTCTTTCTTTCTCATATACGAAATTTCGATTCACAAATATTACATAACTCTAAAATCATGAGATTAACCACTTAACTCATTTCTCAACATTATTAGACGATTAAAAATTAGGACTCTTTACTTCATGTTAATATAGTATATCTAGTATATTAAGATATATTAGGATATTATTTGTATCTCTCTGTTATAGTATATTCTCTGTATATACTTATCTTATCTCCTATATAAGGGAGTTTACTTATTCATTAAGTTAGATTGAATACAAGAGTTCCCTTTTCTCTTCTCTTTCTACTCTCATAATATGGTATTGCCTAGGGTGTTTTCCTAGCCTCCTTTTCTTCATCACTTTTTTTTTTTTTTTGGCTGACAAATTGCTTCCTTCTCACATTAGTTTCTGCATATCTAGTCCTTTCCTGTTTCAACAATTGGACTATACCATCTTCTTCGTCTCTTCAAGATGAAACCAACGCCGCCACAGTCATCATCATCTGACAATCCACGCACTGCCACGCGCGAAGCTTGAAAACACGCTGTACCATTTTCCTACGTGTCTCACGCACCTCCTTCACTTGTCTCGCACTATCGTACGTCGCGGCCTCATCTACTAACATGAGTCGCGTGTTTCTGACGTCAGCTAACGTCTGCCCTGGTTCCGTGCG